TTTTAAAATTGCTCATGTATTTCAGTAGTGCCATAATATATTCTGAAGTGACCAGAGTGACCAATTAAATTGTGCTGAATTCTTTCAGGCCAACTTTAATGGACATACAGAGGAGACTTTAAGAATACTTTGGGATAAAGTCCAGATGCTTTAATCAAATAAACTACTCAGTTTAAGCATAGGTGGGCCTATTTCTGTATTTCATTTTAAGGTCCTTGCTGCCTGTAATATTTTGGCGGCAATCCAGTCCCCATTTGCTGTTAAAATCAGCTTCTGAACATCTTTTCACAAGCCACACATAATTTGGAAACCACCTAAACCATCACTGAGTTTAAGGATCATATTCTGAGAAACTTCACAGTCATGCCAAGCTCCTATCATATATATCTGATTTATATATTGTTGGCATACAGGCACAATGAATCAGTAATTTCAACATTAGCTATATGTAGAACTTCAATCTATAACAGCCATTGCTGTTATAGATTATACAGTTTTCCGCAGATACCATTTTGAGGCTGGACCAGCGTTCTACCATAAGCTTTCTTCCAAAAGATGGGTTCATATAATGGGGTACTAACTATTCACAAGCCTACATTTTCCTTCAGGGATCTCTTTCAGGCTGAGTTTCAGCACACACTGAGTAGTATGTGAACAGCATTATGTCAGGACCGTGAGTCATGAAAAACCACCGACCAAATGATGTTTCTTAACCACAAATATATGTATTATAATATTTATTATGGGGAACAAAGTATAACCAGAGTCCCAGCATTACTGAACTCTCTACAGTGTTCAAATCAAACAGGGAATGGAGGGTGCAATGGCTTGTGAGAGAGTTCATTTGTATTCAGCCTATTCTTTTTGGTCCATCTCTCTCAGAGGTTGTTACAGAGGCATTCGCAGTAAGTTCATGCTGTGAGCAGCCCAAGAGTTTTCATTGGTTGCCTTTTCTGTGCTCCCAAACTCTCATCTATACATGTTGGGATCAGAAATACCCCATAGCTCTTAGATCTGCAGGAGAAGTTTGCCTCTTTTATATACAGAACCCCTAGCTATGCAAAAGGTGTAGGATTAGGATGGGCATAGCAGCATATACATGATGAATTGTTAATCCGCCTTCACTCAAATACTAAGAAAACAAACAACACTCACATAGCTCTCAGCTACCTTATTAGACTGAAGTAAAATCTGACTTGTAGATTATTGGCTGCAGGAAGATGTGTGGCAGGACACAAGTCTTACTTAACTAGTCTTAGAGTCAAGAGCAATTCTTACTCATTCTTTGATGTCTTTGCAAAGTATATTCCTATTCTCTATAGGAAGGGACTGTAAAAGAGAATGGTGCATCAAGCTGATCTCAGCTAGAGTCCAGAAACACATTAAAGCATCTTTTACAGTGCACACCTGCTGGAGGTAGTTTTATTTTGGATTTGGCTCTTAATTCACTACTAAAACAGTTACTGGATTCCAGCTTAGAAGAAAATGGTGATAATAAGATATTACATATGCTTAGCATTTAATACTGCAGTTCACCCTCACTCCTGCAATTTAGCAGATGCTTTTTACAAAACCATTCACACACAAATAAGCAAAAACCCTAAGAGATGGGATGTGTAAGAATCTCATAGCATATTGCAGGATGATGACTTCTTAACCTGGTCTTTATACAGATCCCTGAAGAGGTTCAGAAAGAGATCCTTTCTCATTATGTTGTTTCATATCTGAAACTGAGAGTGAATATCAGAACTCTTCCACTCAAATTTTATCTCAAGTGGTTTGCTAGTTTATCTGTCATACACAAATTGCCCTTAAACAAAACCACTTTGGCTGGTGTGTCAAAAAATCTTGTTCAGAATATGCAAGGGACATATAACCCTTTTGATAGGAACATAGGAAGCTACCTTATATACAGGCAGACTGTCAGTCCATCCAGCTCAGTATGGACTAGGAGCAGCTTTCTAAGGTTTTGAAATGTGGTCTCTTAAACCCCTACCTAGAGTTGCCAGGGATTGAATTTAAGATCTTTTGCATGCTTTCTACCATTAAGCCATTACCCCTCTCCTTATAGGCACTCATATTACTAGATTTGTTTCTGCTTATTTATTATTCCTTAGTGTTGGATCTGCTACAATTTCTAGTGGAAGTGAACAATGCTGATTTAAAGAGATTATTGTTATCCCTCTCTGGGTATCCAGAAGGAGTTATGGGGTATTGTTCCTTATGATCTTGGAAGTTGTCTTTATGGAGAGATGTTTTCAGAGCACTGAAGTGAAATAACATCAGTATGTCATAGTTTATATCAACTACATGAGAAGCAGTATAAATTCTTGATCAGTGGAGATAATGCTTAACTGGTGACAGCTAGCAAGCTTAATCCAGACAGGATTGAACAGATGGTGTTGAGGGTATTTGGAATCTAGAAGTGTGGACTGTGTATAAATGGGATTTTCTCTTCTAAAGAGAAAGGAGAGATATTTTAGATGGTCTCCTGGATGTAGCATTTCCTCCCAAATGGTCAGATGCTACCTGTGGCATGGAACATATTTAACTAGCTTTGTTTATTCTAGGAGTGGAGCTTGGCACACATAATCAGTGATTTGGAAACTGAAGGACAAACTATTAAACTGGTGAGATTTGACCCAAAGTGACTGGCATCATCACTCCCCTGACTTTTTGTGTTCTTTTATTGGTTCTTTTTTAAAGGGGGGGAGTGGCAGACAGAGAGAGACGGGAGAGAAGCAACCAGATGTAAAGAACATGTTCTTCAATAGTTGCAAGGAAGAAGCTTGCAGTGGCTTTTTCACACCTGCACTGCAAACTGGATCTGCAAAACCCCCATTTTATACAGCTATTAAGAATATAGGAGTCCTGCCTCTTTGCATTATTTGCATAATAGCCCACCTACCTGATGAGAATGGCTTTAGATTTGACATTGGGGGGGGGGGGGACACACACAAGTGCCTTGTGGTTCTTGTTCTTCTACATCATTCTCTATTTTTTTCAAAACACCAAATTGCAGCAGCATTTCTGTCGCCTGTGAGATGCATCTGCCTCCCTGTAAAAGACAGCCTTTCCATCCTCTAGGATGGATGGGAAGATACAAATTTCTATTTCAGGTGAAAAATGGAGATGTAAAGGAAAGCACAAGGTGCTTGCCCTTTCTGTTCCACCTGCATCAGTACTGTCTGAAGTAATTCAGAGGTTTTCAACCTTTTTGGGTCCACAAATCCCTTGACCAACTACATTCTTTCTGCGGCATCCCTGTGGGGCTCAGGAGCCCAGTTATGTCACCCTTTGCCTGCAGAGCTGGCAGCCCCTCACCTATTTTTGAACACTCTCTCTTGTGGAGTGTTCCCTTAGCCTCCTCTCCTCTCTTCTCCCCTCTCCTTGGGAGTCCTCTGGGCAACTGCAGCTGCTGCCCCCGGCCTATGAGCTGCCCCCCTGCCCCAAAAAGGGGTGCCTCCTCACACTGCCCCACAGGGCCTGGGAAGCACCCCCTGGCCAGCCCCAGAGGAACCATTCACCTGGGCAGCTTATAGCCACGTCTGCTGCAATGAACAACTGTGCAAGCTTTTGGAGGAGCAAGAGGGCATCAGAGGAGGGAGGGAAGCAAAGAGGGACAGAGACCAGTGTTTCCTGTGGCACCCCGACCATCATTCATGGCACCCCAGGGTGCCACGGCACACTGATTGAAAACCACTGACGTAATTAATTGAGCTGTGGTCATAATATACAATGAGATACATTTAGGCTAAATATTCACAATAAAAACATTCATAGCTGCATGGATAGTACAGCAATAGAATATGCCCAGAGAGGATGTGAAAAACCCCCCAAAACCCACCCTCCTTCCTTGGAGACTTTAAGAAAAAGGTAGGGCTGACATCTTTTAAAGATGCCTTTCGCATAGAACATCCAGTTGTACAGCAGATGATTTAACAGATGATCCACTGTGCCCTTTAAAATTCTATGGATGTGAGATGAGGAGAACCATACATAACATAGTTCAGAAAATACCAAGTAAACATTGGACTATTAAAGTAGTGCTCTCTTTGATGTGGGGAGAAATCCTAAGCATAACTACCTTTCACCCAGAATAACAAGCTACGTGTAGTTTTCAACCTCCAGCTGAATCACCAGTCTCAACCTAAAGTAGCGGTCCTGATTTCCACTTAATGCAAATGAAGTTGGGGGAAAATGCTAAAGTAACATTTTCCAGGTAGAATATAGCTTTTCTCTGAAATGATCATAGATGCATTAATCATTTTATATAGAACTAGAATCTAGTTAATAGATCATAAATGATGTGGGCAAAATGCAGAGAACTGATATTTTATTTATCCTGAGTGTAGAATAAGGAAAGTAGAGTAAGGAAAAAATGAGCTTATTATACCAACATGGAACCAACACTGGCTGCTTACAGAGTTTCTAAAGAAAGGGGGAAACCCTATTCCTGCATCCTAAGAGCAGGATAGTAAGCGATGAACATGAGGAAATGCAGTTACATTTACTTAAAATTGGTTATAGTTGTAGATGAAGATTAAGCACAGGTTTCCTAAAACCTATGGGTTTTCTTGTGGAATTTAAATGAAATTTTAGAGAAGTCATAATGTAGGTTTTCAGAGAGGGAGATCCAGGCATAAGAGCAGCAAAGACAGTGACTGAGATTGCAGTCCTTTCTCTTTTCTTTTCTTTTCTTTTCTTTTCTTTTCTACCTGAATATAGCAGATCCAAGTTTTATTACATGGCCAAGAGAAGAAACACTACTGCTGTAGGACAAGACATTGGACATCTGCGGTCAAAATTTCTCATAGTCCTTCCCCCACCCAAGGACTTCTTCTTCCTCCCACCCTTCCCCTCTTCTCCAACATCTGGCAGGGCAACTGTGGTCAAAGGAAGATTGACAGAAGTGTAAACAGCTGCCTTCTGACAGAAGCCATGTTAAGCGTTGCTTTCCTAAAGCACAGTAGCCCCACCGGCCAAGCCTTCCTGTGTGGCTATTTGTCTCCATGGTAAGAGGCATCCTTCCCAGTTTTCTTCAGGGTGTTCAGTAAGGTGTCAACACTGTGCTCTGAGTCTATATTCACCTTCTCGTTGGGCAGGTCAATTTCAAACTGAACACCTCCTAGCTTGTTGAGAACACAGCTGACGGCATTCGAGCACCCTTCACGGCTCATGTCTACAAAGAATTCATGTTTTGGCATGGCTGCTGTGGCTGCTGCTCCTCTTCTTCCTCCAGAGCATGGGTCGGCAAACTAAGGCCCGTGGGCCAGATCAGGCTCAATTGCCTTCCAAATCCGGCCCTCAGACGGTCAGGGAATCGCCGTGTGGATCACCAGCAGGTGGATCACCAGTGCGCGTGTTCTTTCCCTCTCCCTCACACGACGGCAGCAGTGGTGGCGGCAGTGCCTCCTCCCTCCCTCCTCCTGGCTTCTCCCCACCCTGCCTAGAAGAGGAAGGGGACTGGGCTTTGTTGGTGCCAGCCCCTCTCCAGAGCCCTTTTGCATGCCGCTCATCATCCCTCCATCGCCGCCAGCCCCTGCCGCTCGCAAGACACAGGAGCTGCAGTTGGCTGAGCGCCCCTCTCAAGCGGCCACCATTTAAAGCAGCCCCTCTCCGGAGCGTTTTCAAGCGCCAATCATCGTCCCTCGTTCATTTTCTCCCTCTTCAAAATATAGTCCTGCCCCCCACAAGATCTGAGGGACAGTGGACCGGCCCCCTGCTGAAAAAGTTTAAGGACCCTGCTCCAAAGCCTTTCTGGCTGCTGCTCAGTGGAATGACGCAGCTCCCTTCGCAGCCTCCGCAAAAAAAAAAAAAAAGCCTTCTTGTTTCTTTTTGAAAGAAACTCTACTCCCAGGCTTCATGGGTGGAGAAACCTGAGTCCAGAGGCCAAATGTAGTCCTTCCTGAAAAGCATTTTTCTGAGAGATGCATGTCATTGCACTGTGATAATGTATTTAGCTTTACTGGTAGACAGGTGTGTGTGTGTGTGTGTGTGTGTGTGCGCGTGCGTGCACATGTGTGTGCATGTCTGGAATGCAACATACTGCACAGAGTTATATCCATTGCTCTGATGACCTTTGCCTTTGTTCCCATACATAACCGGCATGTGGCTCCCTGAAGACTGCCCATGAGGAAAAAGTTTCCCATCCCTAAGCAATAAGGTTGATGGAGCTCCCTCCCTCAGGTATTCCTTGAATGTAGAGTGGTTTATAAATTCTGAAATAAAGTAAAAACGAAATTGCATTCTAATTTTCATACAATTGAGGCCTTGTGTTTTAGGTCTGTTTTCTTGTTGGTCCCTTCCCCTCTGGTTTTGTGTTAGCATTACAAATAGTCACTGTTCCTATTGCAAGAAAAGAAATTATGAAGCTTGGCAACATCATTAGTGCCAGATTGATTCCTTCTTGTCCTTTGATCCCCACATTCAAAGATAAAGATAAAGATAAAGGCAATGCTGCATGCCTCAGAGTAACTGCAGAGAGAAAGGCTTTGAAGAAGAGAAGTAGTTCAGGGTAGACATGTTGAATATGAGACAGACATGGGATAGCTAAGTGGCTGAAGAAAATGCACACCTGGATATAAGGTGCTTTATACAACTTTCCCATTGTGCCACTGTTTTCCAACAAGTCACTTTTTCGTTGTCTATGCTTGTTTTCCTCTGCATAGTGTATAGCTCAGAACATTCCTGATGAATAATCAGAATCCCCATTCCACTGTCCTTTGGGCTCATCTGGGGAAATTGGCAGCTTCTAAGGCCGGCAGCTCAAGGCTGCAAGGTCCAGGGGCAAGATGGGGACCACCTCTGAGGCTAATTTGCCTCCTCAGCTTGGAGATTTGGTTCAACATTTAAGAAAGTGGCCCTATTTTCATTCCATCTGCCTATGTCTTTATTTCAGGCCTTGGTCACAAGTAACTTCATCTAGGTCTGTTCGTAATGTCTGGGAAAGGCATGTGTTTGTTTTGAAACTAATGGACAGGAATTATCCTATCAATAATAGAATAGAATAAAATCCAATTACAGCCCTTCTTATCAGGTTATAATCAGCATGCCACATATTCTAAAAGTTGATGAAAAGAATCATACTTAATTTACTAAATTGCAAAATCTATCCTTGTAAAGAAAATCCTGATTCACTTAAGATAGCAGGAACCAGAATATTATTGTGAATTAGCAATGTGTCCAACACTGGGTTGGTTGAGATATTTGTGCATAGAAAGCCTGTATACTTCAGAGATCCCTTGGTCAGGTGAGGCGGCACAATGTGTGTCTGTATGCTCTGTAGACCACAGCAACCATTCATTCATTCACATGTGGAAAGTAAAGGAAGTATTGGGGAACACCACAGATGGGATTAAACCTTTATAAATTTACAGTTGCATTTTCTTTTTCCTGTATAGCTTAATCTAAGCCACTGGGAACTGCCAGCCATTATCTCCAGAACATCACCCTTTCTTCTGCAGGGGCCTGTCTGCGATTTCATTTCTTAGTAACCCTGTACCTATATACCTGTACCTAAATAAGCCCCAGTGAATACAGCGTGGGTTGTTTGTGAGTAGACATATTTAGTATTTGTTATGGTATTTATATTTCCCATCAATTGTGTTTTTTGAGCTAGATTTGATAAAGGACTGGATCAGATAATATTTCTACCCTCTCCCAATCTAGAACCTCCCAACTCATCTGGAATGTAATCAAGACAAAATCACTTAAAACATTAGGTTTTGCACATAGGCTATATTCAGCCATGGTACCTACTGCATAACTGGGGTTGGTTAAGCTGGCACTAGGCAGGCAGGCTGGGAAAGCATGTTTACAGTTCTTTCCCCATGATGGGCCAGACTGAGGGGGAAGTATTATCTGATCCAGCCCAAACGTGTTCTTGTTTACAAATGCAGCATTCTCATATTAGAACTTCGGTACTATTTCTTACAGATTAAAATTAGCTACTGGTCAGCTGCAAGTGTCAGTTCATTTAACCTTTCAAATAACTAATGGTGTTGCTAACCTAAAGGAAACATCATCTGAATGGTAAAAATAATAATAATGGTAATTTTTTAATGACCACGCAAACTGGAAACCTTTCTTGGCTTATATTCTATACATTGTGGTTGCTTTTGTCTACTCAGTTTTGGACAGACCTTTTCTTGAATACAGAATGAGAAGCCTGTTCTGGTCTTAGAAGGGTGGCACAGCCACCCAGTCAATGTCTAGTTACGAGCTAGGGCAGTAAGTGTGGCAACTGGCAAGACCTATTTGAGATGAAATATAGGCAAATCAGGTAACAAATGCCAAACTTGATCCCTGGCTCCTGCTTGAAATAACACATGTTTGACCAGAAAGATCACTGAAGAAGAAAACTGACCTTCAATTATAAATGTTAAAATGCATCAATATACCATTTAAGCCTTTTCTCAATGGCCTTTATTTTAAAATAAGAATTCTTTTAAAACAAATTAGCTGTGACATTTTCTTCATAGGCTTTGTTATACTCAAATATACTTTCCCACACATTAGCATAATTTTGAAATTACTTACTATATTATTAAACTATATTGTCTAATCTTTGAGAACAATCTATTTTGTGCCCCATTTATGTGATCTAGAACACACAGAACATATTCTGACTCATAGAGAACAGAAAGGTTCCTTTGGGTTGCTCTCCACACATTTTGAGAACTACTTGCTGAGCGGGGGGGGGGGATGCCTGAATAGTGATACCGTGTGGCTGGTATAAGGACTTGTTTGTATATGCTGATTTATGTCTTATGTAGTTATATCCAACCTCACTGATACCACCAACAGTATGACATAAATATTGTAGTGGTGAATTCTACAATGAATAGACATTCTGAACTATAATCAGCATTAACAAAATTAATGTGTTATACCTTAATTTCTATTGATCCTTTTCATCAACATGTTTTGAAACTGAAAACATCCCCAACAGAAAGCAACCACATTCTCTGGGGAAACTGATCTTAAGTGTGGTTAATACACCTGTCTGTTATGATGATACATAATTAGGCATTATCAAAATGGTCAGAAATAAAAGGTTTCAGAACAGTTATGAAACCTCATAGCAGCAACAGGACAGGCTTGTTGGTTTTAACAAATCTGGCTTCATCAAATGTCTCACCAAGACCCCAACAGTTCAATGCCATGTATGTGTTTTCAAAGTAAGCCATGTTAAGTTCTGTGAGACAAACAAGTGTATGTAGGATTGTAGCTCATGTCTAGTATTCCATCATTCCTGATTCCAGGATAATCAGACAATATTCTGAATTCTTGAGGTTTATACACAACTTCTTTTGAATTCTATGCTGCTTGTTAAGTGGTAGGTACTGATGGGAAATGGTTATTGCCTTATCCGTGGTTTGTCCTTATTTTACTCTTCCCTGCTATGTGTTTATTTTCTGCATTTCTCTTTATCAACTAACTCATTGTTTAACCTTACATATAAGTGTTCACCTTACGTTCAAATTTTGATGTGCATTTATGATCTGATAATGACACGCATGTGGGTGCATGAGCGCGCGCGCGCACACACACACACACACACACACACAGTAAGGAACACTTTTTATTCCTGTGCAGTCAGTGTGAAGGCGATGCATTATTTTGGCCTGCAGGACGTGGCTAGATGTTGCCGATCCCTTAAGAAACCTCTAATGATTGTGGGGTAAGCCAGACACAGCATTCATACAGTAAAAATGTAAGAACAGCAATCTGGGCAAGTGGAGGGGGGGGGGAGAACAAAATATTAACAACAGATCAGCATAAAAGGAGGATTGAAAGACCCAAGGGAAGACATTTAAATGCATTAGTCAACTACATAAAAACAAATAACAAGAAATTATTTAAGTTTATCAGAAGCAAGAAGTCATTAGATTTCTTTGACTATCAGGAAGTGTAGTGAGCAATTAAAGAAGATGAGAACATTGTGCAGCATTAAGTGACTTCACCACAATGATTGCTGGATGACTGTCTTAGCTCAGAACTAAGAGTCATGGTTCTCATGCTTTCTAGTGCCAGAATGTACTTTCGATTAATTTATGATAAATCTAAATAGAACTGAAGATAAAATAAGACACAATCTGTAGTGAAATTTGGGTTCTAAAACAGATGAAATCAGAGCAAGAAAACAGCAAGAGCAGTTCCTAGCTGCAATTTAAAAAAAAATAAAATGCAATAAAATATGGAA